GTGGTCTTTGTGCAGACCTTGTTGTGGTCTTTGTGTGGACCTTGTTGGCCAACATTAAAACACTTTCCAAGCACCAGACCAAAGTAATGAAAGAAATGAGAACCGTTTAAATCTGCATAATTATTTATATTTACAATAAACTGTAGGTATTTTTTTAAATGACCTTTTCCGTTACAAACGAACAAGTTAATCTTAAAAAATTAGCAAAAAAAATAAAAACTTTGATGGAGAAGTTTGTGGAAATGTCATGTTCTGTCAACCTACATTGTTTTTTGTCTACAAAGTTATAGAAACATTTGAGAATATAATTTATATTTCCACCACATTTACCAGGAATACTGACAATAACCTATCCAACAATTTTCAGTCAGGTCACCGGGACAGTTTCTTTTTTTTTTCTGAAATGTTTCGCCTTCCAGATGGAAGCATGGACTTTTTTGGTTTTGGACCAGTTTGACATGACTGTCGACGAGGAAGAGGGCCGGCCACAGAGGAGGGGGCGTGCCAAAGACACCATCTTAGCACCAACATAACTGGTTTGTTCCACTTTGGAGTAAGCTGTTTGGGGAAGAATCAGTTTTGTGTTGTGTGTTTCCTTGACTGATGAAGTCTTCTGGATGGAAGTTGAAACGTTTCAGAAAAAAAAAAAGAAACCGTCCAGATGACCCGACTGAAAATTGTTGGATTGTATAACCTGGATTATTGAGCATGGCCTTTTTTTGATAATAACCTACTTATTGGGCTGCAAATGCACTATTTGTTCTTTGTCGCAGAACAAAAAGAGGGAACGTGTAAATACATTCGGTCCGTCCATCTGTAATTAATAACGTGGAACAATAAGCGAGGTACTCATGTCTGTTTTGGGGTGTGGCTGCATCTAGGCTTCAAGATGGCCACCACCATATATATAACTGACCAATCCTATCATTTGAGGAAACTATGCTTTCTAGTTTCTATATTGCTTAAAAGTATATTTTCCTGAAATTATTAGAGTGGAGCTGATGGAGGTCAAGGCGATGTGGATAAAATGGCTCCCTCTGCTCGCCAGGTTTCGCCGCTCTGCGTTGCCATGGACAAGAACAATAAATCCCTCTGTCCTTCTCCACACCAACTCCTACGTATTTAAATATCTTGCACCAAAAATATAAGTTGTACTTACATTCCCTGTTCAATCCGAGTACAGAAAAACACTCATCTTAAGTACAAACATTCTGTTCAATCCCTCAATGACCGAGGACATCAGAGTTGTTAACTCTGCACAATGTGACCAACGTTTAGAACCACATATTCATTACACCTTTATTTCTACAGGTTAGTCTCATTGAGCCCCACGGACTCAATGAGATGTGAGTCGACCAAGATATCCAAATATTTGTAGGAATCAACAAACTCAATGGGGACACCATTTGAGGAAAAAATCGGAGGAAGAACTGCTGAGACCGACTTCCTGTTTGAAAAAAAAACATCCCTTTGGTTTTATCGGCATTTAGAACAAGTTTAAGACGGAATAAGTCTGAGCGAATAATGTCAAATGCAGACAGTAAAAGCTGGAAAACCTTAACTGTTTTAGCTCGACAATAAACAGCTGTATCATCAGCATAGAAATGTATGGATGCATAAGGGATAATCTGACCTACATTACTTATGTAGATTGTAAAGAGGGTGGGTCCGAAGACGGAGCCTTGTGGTACACCATTGCTGAGTAATAAATAACTGGAGGAAGTACCATTATGTTGAACACATTGTCCCCGGTCTGAAAGATAGAGAACCAACCAATGGTGTGATCTGATAAACCAGTTTCTGAGAGTTTATGACACAAGATGTTCTGATCCACAGAGTCAGAATCTTTAGACAGGTCTAAGAAAAGTGCAGCACAATAATCCTTAGCATCCAGTGCTTCAACAATGTCATTAAGAACCTTCAGTGAAGCAGTGGTTGTGCTGTGTTGTTTCCTGAAACCAGATTGATGTGGAGGCAAGATGTTAAATGAGTCCAGATACTTTTTGATTTGAGAGTTTGTCAGTTTTTCTAGAACCTTGGCTAAAATGCAGAGTTTAGAGATTGGTCGATAGTTGTTCAGTGAGGTGGGGTCTCCTCCCTTCAGCAAAGGAAGAACAAAAGCTGTTTTCAAGCGTCTGGATGGAGTTTTGGCTTATGGACAGGTTCAAGATGTGGGACACTGGTCCTGCAGGAATATGAGCAGCCAGCCTTAAGAAATAAGGTGGAAGTTCATCAAGATACAAACTTGGGATCAGAATACTGGGTGCAGTGGTTACAACCAGTTATGAATCTTAGTGCACCATGATAGACAGCATCCAACATCTGCAGCATCCAACATCTGCAGGGTTCTTGTAGGAGCGTTCATGTAGATAATGTCACCGTAATCAATGGAGGGAAGGAAAGTCACAGATACAAGGTGTTTTCTAGCATTCAGAGTTAGACAGGATCTGTTTATATCTAGATAAAAAAAAAACTATTATAGAATCCATTTTGTACCGTATAATTGCCTCGTAAAAAGTCGCCAGGCTTTTATTTTTTTTTATCAGTCCAGCACAAAGCAAAGGTACAACAAAAGTTTTACAGTGAAATACTCGTTCAGGTCTTTGGCAGCCAACTCGGACTTCACTGTGCTTGATCGCGAGTCATCATGAGGCTCCAACAAAGGCAAATCAAACAACGCTGAGCTTTTCTGCTGAGATGAACATCTGTCTCATTTGAGTATCAAAGACTTGCCTCAGTCTGCACATTTGGTTTATGGATAAATACTTTGACGGAGCGGCAGTGAAAAATCAGGTCTGCAGTGCATCCAAATGGGAAAGGTAAGCTGAAGCGTTCTACACGAATAAAACCCCTTTCTGTGCGTGCATTGATAACAGCCATGTTTTCTCCTACAGATCACTTTTTTTGAGGAAAGGAAGTTCCAGGGCCGCTGCTACAACTGCAGCAGCGAGTGTGCTGACCTGCACACACACTTCAGCCGCTGCAACTCCATCCGGGTGGAGAGCGGCGTGTGGGTCGTCTACGAGCGGCCCAACTACAAGGGCTTCCAGTACGTCCTCACCCCCGGGGAGTACGCCGACAGCCAGCAGTGGATGGCCTTCAGTGACAGCATCAAATCCTGTCGAGCCGTAAAGAATGTAGGCACTGACGAAGGCGTTGAACGTCGCCTGCACAAGCTGTTTGGCGCCAACTGGGTTTTGTGACAACAGTCTTGATGTTTTGTTTTCAGGTTTACGTCGGCGCCTGCAAGTTGAGGCTATACGAGAGGCCGGACTTTGGCGGTCAGATGGTGGAGTGCGCTGACGATTGTTCTTCGGTCTATGATACTTTCAAGATGCGCGACGCCTACTCCTGCGTGGTGACAGATGGCGCCTGGGTCTTCTATGACCTCCCCAACTACAGGGGACATCAGTACCTTCTAGAGCGGGGCGAATACCGGCAACACGGCGACTGGGGGGCGTCCTCTCCGGGTGTCGGCTCCTTCCGCAGGATCACAGATTTTTAACCTTCAATGCCTGCACTTCATCAGTAAATGCAAAGCAAACCCTTACTCGTGTCTTTGTGGAGTGTCTGAACACAGTGCATGAAAAATTATCATCTTCTTAATCTATTTTAGTTTAAACCTAAATACGTCTAAAAAAAATTTAAAAGCAACCACGGTCCACCCTGGCTCAGTTCTAGGGTTTCACAAGTCAGGACATTAAACAATCTGTTCTGTTCTGAAATGATTCAGATTGGACCTCGAGTATAAAAACAACAGATTCCCCGAGTCGTCATTTAGTAAACAAACGTCAGTCCCACGATTCAACAGAACCAACAGTCTCCTTTAGCAGCAGAACTCTGGTTTTCTGCAGGACCTCGTTAGTACCTCGCGTGGTTGTGGAGCAGTTTTGGCCCATTCTTTCCAGCGTTTCTTCAGTTCATTGAGGATTCTGTGCTGAAGGTCCACCAGCAGCGTTTCAGTCAGGGTCAGGTTCTGGACTCTTGCTTGATAGTTGAAGCTCCTTTCCGTTCTTGCTGACCCATTCTGTTGTAGATCTGCTGCTGTGTTTAGATCATGGTCCTGTTGGACCCAGACTGGTCCAAGCTTCAGCTGTTGAGCAGATGGGCTCATGTTCGACTCCAGAACCCTTTGGTTTACAGAGGAGTTTGTGGTCCACTCAGTGACTGCATGGAGCCCAAACCATCAGCCCTGTTTACACGGTGTGGTGTAAACATCTCTGTGCTGGTCCCATATGTCCAAAGAACATTGTTCCAGAAGTCTTGTGCTTCTTGCAGATGCAAGTCTCCTAACTCGAGTTGTATTCTCATGTTTTTTTAGAGAGGTCTTTTTCCAACAACCCTTCCAAACAAGACGTTTCTATTTTTCTGCTGGTCCCATCATGAACTTCAACCTGTTAACCGACGCCTGAACAGTCTCAGATGGAGCTCTTGGGGTTTATACGTCTTTGAGCAAGGCACAGCCTGACTTCAGGGGGACTTTTCTAGGACGTCAACTTCGGTGAAGATTAGCGTCAACCCAGACCTCCCTCTCCCCAGAGACACTCTCCAGCTCCTCGTGTTCCCAGACCAGAGAGGTCACACAATCCAAATGATGATTATTGGTGCCCAATTATGGACCTTATGAGTTTTGGAAATGATCCTTAATTAACTCTTCTCAACTGATGAACAGCAACAGTTCATCCATCGTCTTTATTCACTTCTTCCTTTCTGGGTCACTGGTGCCCATGTCCAGCAGTCACTGTGCGAGAGGCGGGGGACAACTGGACAAGTCTCCAGTCCATCACAGGGACACCTGGACAGGTCTCCAGTCCATCACAGGGACACATGGACAGGTCTCCAGTCCATCACAGGGACACCTGGACAAGTCTCCAGTCCATCACAGGGACACATGGACAGGTCTCCAGTCCATCACAGGGACACCTGGACAAGTCTCCAGTCCATCATAGGGACACCTGAACAGGTCTCCAGT